AAGAAGCCCATGCTTATACTTGATACGGAACTCTTGTCAGTAGTTAAGACTAGATTCTGCACACCGAGGCGACCAAAATTCTATAATTGTTGAGATATTGACCGTCATGATGTCAAGCTGCACCATGACTTGTCGAAGTTTTGTTCTTTTTCTGTTCTCGGCGGAGGGAGATGTTCACGTAGAGGAAAGACACCTCAGCTAGAGGTAAGACACCTCATGGTTGCGTTACAGAGACTTAGGAACAAAAGCAGAAGAAAAGCAGATAGGACGACGCAATGCATGGATTTCAAACCTGACCCTCATTGCTAACCAAAGTTGCCAAACCGATCTATCTGCACGTGTCTGGAAGAGATGAAAGCCGCATGATTCGTTGTCAACCCACGAAGGGTCCGTTTCCTATTGTGCTCGAGTTATGTTCTCAAGCAGGGAGCTGAGGATGAGCTGGGAAGCAATTAAACCCATATTCCTTGCACATGAACGGACATCATATTAAGACTTTTAGAGTGCTCTTGGGTCACCGGATTACTTCTTGTGGAAAAATTTGGTGAATATTTCATCTTCCTTCTCGTTCCGTTTGGGTAGCACAGGTCGGCCAAGAAGGTTGTCTTCAAGGCCAATCTAATCTATGATTTGGAGCATGAATTACAAGGAAGAAAGGAATGTAAAAAGTGACTCCGTAGTTATGTGACTTTCTGGTACAACAAAAAAATGCTCGCGGCGAAAACAAGAAGAAAAAGGACGTAATGAAAAATGGCTGTATTCATGAGTTGCAGGTGTGAGCCCTTGCTCTTCCGTAATCGCTAAGCTAGGACAAAACTCCGAAGACTGGAGCAGTACAAGAGCGGAAAGCATGATGATTGTTTCATGTGGAAAGTTGACAAGGATCAATCCTCGTCAACTTTCCAGTCGGTACTTCATAGCTGAGTTGTGAACTGTGAAGATAAAGAAACATATAGGTGTAGAATGCGAGTCCAAAAGCGTCTAGGAAAACTTCAAAATGTATAGCATTTTATTAAAAATCGGAATGATGTTTTCGAGCCCGGTAAAGCACTAAAGTACGATGCGAGAAGAGAAAAGAAGAAAGCCACTATCGTCCTCTGTTGGAAAATCTTCGTCCCTCCGCTGGTGACCTTGATCATACCGGAGAGAAGATGAAGATCAGATTGAACCATGGTAAGTTTCGTCAACTCAGCAGCTTTTTCCCTTTCCATCCTGCTTGCGGCCTTCGTCGGTAACTTTCTAGTCGAGGAGGAGGTCAACATCACCTCGACATACAATATCTGTAAACATCTGTTAATAAATGGCTATGATAACCAAACAAATGCTAGCTGGGAGTTTGGTAATAAAAAAACAGAAAGATGGGATGGCATCTGGTAGCCGTCTCAATTTGAAAATTCGTGAACAACACATTCATAAGTGTACTTGGATGATGCTGTTCCTCTCTTTCAACTCATATATGACAACAATGATTAGAGATTAGAACTTATACGTGTTTACTAGAAGTTGACAGCAAGTTAATGTCAATGGTGATCCTGTCCTTCTCGATATCTGCGTGGACTGTATTCACTAGCCTATGACAGGATGAGTAAACACACACATGGCAACTGCTCGATCGTGTATTCATACACATCGTCGCGTGGCTGGCTCCTATCCCATTCAAGGTGTCCAATGATCTTCATCAAACCTCTTAAGTGAAGCACACCGTTTTACATACAGCGTCCAATCTTGTATCCGGGGTAGGACACAGTCAAATAACAAAAAGGATGGGTACACACTAAAGATGGGAAAGCTCATCAACTCTTAGAGTGATAAAGATAGTCAGATAAGATTTGCTAAAGTCCAATAGAGATCGAATGTGAGCTATGTCATATCCCCCTCCATGCTAATTTTTGTTCAAAAGATTTTCAGAAGACGCATCCCAAAACCATACTTCTTTGCGGATATGCAATATGTAGAGCAAAATGATTTCATGTGTATATATTATATAGAAATTTTGTTGAACAAAGATAGATGTTGACAATAGTTACTGGTATTTTTTTATATGATATCTTAAGTATTGGGAATTTACATTCAAATTTTCATTCAACTAATGGATTCATAAATGTAAACAACAGTTTATATGTACTTCTTCAGGGATCTTGTCTTTTCTATATCAAAATTTTGTACACTTTACAATCCATCAAACAGCTCACTAAGAAGGAGAATTTTCATAAATATTTTGACTAACAAAAATCATACTGCTAACTATATCAAATCTACTATTTCAAAAGTCAAGCATATAACTTTAATTTTAAAAGTTACTTGAAATTTGGAAATAAGTCCAAAATAACTAATATTGATCAAATTTTAATTTTATGATTCAGATCATATGCACAAAATTCACATAATAATTCTAGAGTTGACAAAAAATAGTCACAAGGGGTTGTAATGATAATTTAAGCATAACATTATTGTATGGAAATATTAAATATCCAATAAAAAAATTTTCAAAATTTTATATATTTAAACATACATATTTTAAAAAAACATATAAAATTGAAATTCCAATTACAAATCATCATAATCAAATGACCTAGTATCATGTGATGAAAATTTTTTAATCCACATGACAATTAAAAATTTTATTTCAAACTTATCCATTCAAAACAATTGCTAAAAATAGTTCAAAAACTACTAATTATTTAAAAAAATAGGGACACTTGCTAGCTCATATTACCTATTAAGTAAATTAAAAAATAATTAAATTAAAATATATAATAAAGGTATCAAATTTTTTTAATGATTTTCTATTACATTAGCATTACATTAAAATTACACGTTCAATTTCATTTTTAACCAGCAAATATTTTGATAAATATTATAAAATTTGGAATCAAAATCATGAAAATTGTGCATTCATATGAATGAAATGAAAGTGATAGTTGTAATAGTTTATAAGTTATAATTGATCCAAATGTAAAAAATATATACAAATTTTAAAGCATAATTTACATAAATTATTAAAAAATGTATGAATGTAAAAAATTCCGAATATTAGCAAAATTTGGTAATTTAAATCAATCCAATTGATTAATAATGCTAGGCTTTTTCTGATTATACAATGAATCATCGATTATTTTGAATTCAAGTATCATCATTATGGCATCTTTTTCAAAATATTTTACACCTTAATAAACACTTTGGATAATGGAATTTTATAGATATAAATATTTCTAATTAATTTCATTTTGTTCGCAAAATGCTATATACACCTGTTTAGTTGATATCAACAAAGTCGACAAATTTTTTATCAACCGTGTATATAAATTTTGGGTGATGATGTTTTACTTGTCACTACATTAATAATAGAAAATATATTTTCATATACATTGAAATATAAAAATAACAATTCACATCCTTCTAGACAACTTTTAAAAAATATAATAAAGATATATACGCTTGAAGAAGTTCTTTCTGAACTCTATGTTCTTTTATACTCATAATAAAGATTATAACGTGTGACTTCACATGTGTTTAGACTTTATTTAGCTTTGAAAAAATAATAAAATTAAATCACATCATTGATATGCAAAATCTCTTACAAGATTTTTTATATACATCATATTCCAAAAGATATCTTTAGTTTTTTAAAAAAATTAGGAAAAACATATATTATCTTGGTTTGCAAATATCAATTTAGTGTTTATAATTATGCTATTTGGAGTATAATAATGTTGTATGACCACAATAGGACTTTCAGGTCATAATCGAATTTACTTATTCGGAATTAAACTATTGTTTTTCATGTAGATTAATTTGATGAGGTTGTGGTTAACGTTTTATCATATTAATAATTACGTCTATCTTGCAATTTATGGAATCACTTGAAAAAAATGTATGAGTCTATTTTTTTAAGCAGTTATAGTAACATTAGTTTTTTCAAATGTCATATATCATACATGAATTGCATTCTCAGTAGGAAAAGGGATATAAATAGAAAGGGGACAAATATTACCCAGAAGACCGAAATGCCTCTTTATAGTTGATACTCCAAGATCTCTGATGATATCCCTTGAATCTTCGGTATACGTTGAGGGCATATATCAATAAAAGTCTACTCAACCAGTCTAGCTTGTTCTACTCTGTTATTATCAAAATATTGCATCGGTAAAATCAAGTCAAACATGAAGTATCACATAGTTCAACATGACCTGCAACTTGTATAGCCCTCGCATATGAATCAACAAATTAAAAATAGTATGAATTAAATTATTCTACTGAAACTTCAATTTCAAAATTTACAAAATTGAAGGTTCATTATCATTATACAAAATGTGCATTATTACCTTTGTTTCCTTCCTATGTGTCAATGTTTGGTACTCTGACATAGTATACATTCAATGGATGTCCTGAAATTATATATCAAATAAAGAATATGACTTTCTCTTAACACAGGCACATAACACTTGATATCGAACCTCTTGTTAGACGTGCTTTCTGTCAACGAAATTACGGCCGAAATCATAGCCCGAGAACAGGCTAAGGTGTGCAGAGTGCGTTTTACTTTCAGTTCCTGAAGTTGTGTAGGATTCAGTTCGATGAGAAATTAGCTCAGGCCTCGTTGAGGGAAAGCGTGACCTTCACTGGCCCTACATCTTTATAATCCACAATACAGAACACACCAAGCAAGGCCTGGCTCCACTCGAAGGATACCGTAATCATTACATAAGACATGATGGATGAAGAGAGTCCGGACATGGAAATGATTAAATTATTGAGGACTCCAATCTTTCTTCTCTTCTCCAGTAAAAGCTCAGAGTTTGCAAATTTCCAAATTGGTTGAAGTTTCTCGCCAGATTGTTGCCTAGCTCGTTTGGAGTTTCCCCAGCTAGGCAACATAACGGCGGCAATGTGCATCAGTCTGACGGAGGAAATCATTGTATAGACAGAAAACTTCTGTTTCGACTGAGACGCAACTCCCAGATAGACGAGAGCAGAGCAGAGGAGAGGAGAAGGGAGGGATGGATCGTAGCAGAGAAGAGAACCGTACTCTTGATTATGCATGTACAAAATCACAACCAACGCTTTCGCCATCTCCCAAAGATTCCTATTGCACCCAGGAGACAATGTTACTGTAGGCAGCCGAAAGTACGAGGCTCGTCTGGTCGAGCTCTAAACCCTAGTCTGCTCGACCTCGCCTGCATAGGCCTACGGCCACCTCTCCTTCCAAAAGCCTAATCTTTTGTACTTTTCACCTTTTCACTCTCCCTTGCTCGTCCCGACCTCGGATACAAAAACGGTGGAAATCCATCACACCGTACGAGAAGAAAATTGGGCCGGAAAGCCAAGAAAGAAAATCCCGCTGCCCTTCACGAACACCGGTGCATCCATCGGCTTGCAAGAATCCATCTCCTGCTCTCAGCCGCACACCTCTCCACTTCCCACCACTCAGGTACAGTAGCTCTTTCACAACTCACAACCCACCACCGCTGCTTTTGTTTCCTCGTCTCCTTGCCCGCCTTCAAGCTGGAAGGTAAACCCTGTATCATAGCCAAAAGCAATGGAGGACCCATCAGTCGTACAGGGACGAACCCGAAAAGTAGGATGGCGCTAGTCCTTCAACTCTCTTTATTGATTAGGGATGCAACACCGCTTCGATCTGTCAGTTGCTGGTGTCTACATATAGACATACCGAAAGGAGGTCGTAGCATGTCACGGATTTATGCTCGTGAGTGCCACGATTCAGTTCAACGAATGGTTACTCTCCTTTTTTCTTCAGGAGATGGCCGTCACCCTGGAAGGATTTCTGCGAGTCGCTTACTGGCTCGCCCCTCATACCCTGCAAAATCGTTTGGACATACGCTGCGGAGACCGTGTTTGGACACCATATCCAAAGTGATTGCCTCGAGGTGTTAAGGTCTATACCCCACCAAATTTTCCTTTTGCTCCAACGCTTTGAATTTTCTCTGCTATAAGTGTGATGCATTTGATCGACATTCCTTTCTTCATCATTAAGAACTGACTTGAGTCGCGGTCCTCCTTGTTTCGAGAAGATTTCTTTGACTCTCAATTGCGGAAAGTAGGTTCCTGAAGTTTCCATCAATTCAAATCGGTGGAAACTTCACGAAGAAATAGACTGCAGCGTAATCAGTTGTCAAAATATACATTTTCAGTATAGTATGTGCATATCTTTTTTGCAATAAGAGAATTCGTATGCTTATCCACTGAGCTACATACATAGACTTGTTTTGAGTGAAACCTTTCCAAAATGAAAAGAATCGATCTGTTTCGACTTTTTTAGAACTATTCTTCTATTCCGTGAAAGTGCCGAGGTCATACCTCTAACATCAGCAATGAAAAGAAGAGAATTTCTGCCTATCTTGATTTGGAAAGATTGTGCCTTGGAGCGTTGCTTAGCTTAAGCAGGTTGTAATGATGAACAGAGGATGGAGGACGTGGCATTGACAACTGTCTCTTACTTTTACCTTGGATGTTCTCAGAATTCCCCTACAGCCTACTGTACTCGTCTTACAAGTTCCAAATTACTTAATGGTTAATGTGATTAAACATACTTTTTGGGTGACTCGAGATTGGATTCTCAACCTAGTAGTACAAAACTCAAGTATTATTTGTTTATGCTTTTAAGTTAAATGTAGAGATTTGTGTGAATTGATACACATTATTATTATTAGAGTACATGAAATAGTTTTAACTTGTAATATAATATTTTTTATAAAAAATATTTATTTATTTCTTATAAAAGATCAAAAGCATAAAGTCATAAATCTTCATATGCCCGTGTGATTTATAAAGCTTCTGATTAAGGTTTTGGATAAGTTGGATACAGATTGACATTGTGTTCATTGTGTTGCTATTGGTTCCTAGCATCGTCTTATATCGTTAGTTTCATAATCTCACTTTCCATCTTTCTCATATAGAACTCGTACTTCCAAAACAAAGAAATGTTCCTGTTTGGTATTTTTGATTGTGATGCTTTAGCTTTATACGGGCACTATATTGGCTACAGGTCTATTTTGATATTGTTTCCCGCCTGCATGATATATGTGTGCAAAATGATGCAAAGTCATCAAGAGAATGATGAAACTGAGGATGCAATAAACTCGCGAGCATTACAAGTCAAGAAAAAGTGTACTTGTCCTTGTCTCAACGTGGAAGAAGGAGTTTAGAGAAATAGCAACTTGTTTATCTTCCCGTGAGCTAATTTTTCTACCGGAGCTGCATAATCAAGGTTTCGAACAAGGATAGAGGAAAACTTCTTTCCATCACCAGCATGATGATGACTGAACATACTTACCTCAAAATCCATCACTTTATGAGTCTACTCACCTCCAACATCGTTATGCCTTTGGTTGCCTATTTGTCAGTGAACACATTCCTTCTCAGCATTTCATGCAGTAGATTTAACTGTCATAGCTACAAAGGGAACCAAAAGATGTTCGTTTACATCTGGCTCGTTTTGCTTATGCTGTTTGGCGAACGAGGCCACTGAATGACACTTTTGTTTCCACGAACAGCTGCATAAATAATTACATGCCTTCGTTGAATGTGCTGCATCTAGAACTTAAATTGTATAGTTTATGGAGAGACTGAAGACGCCATACACATTTTGCTTCTTTCGCTATGAATAATTTTCGTCCATCGGTTTGGAGCATGTAAAGCCAGCAGTCTTGGATTTCAACTCTGAACATATCATTCAAGAAGCAACACCTTCTGTTATAGTAAGACGATATATAACATTCTATGTGCACCATGTAATACAATACAAAAATATTGCTGTGATGTGATATTACGACCATGACAACATGTTAATATTTTTCAACTTTGAAGCCATTCATTTCATTTTTACACTTTGGGTTAAGATGATCAAAACTTCATTGCCAGTTTTTTTTAAGCCCACAATCAAACCACTTTGGTAAAAATAGTTGAAGAATTACAAAAAATAATCCATATTATTTGATAAATTATAAAACGTGATCATTTTAGAAAAGGGTGAAAAAAAACCAACTCCTCTATTTGCCTACTAAGGAGCTATCAAGAACTAAATAGAGTTGATGTGGAACATAAAGGATGAAATGGTTCTCAAAGATTATCCGTGTTTGATTTTATTTGTGCTTAACATTCAGTGTCTTCATCTAAATCTTTTATGAGCATGATTCACATATCAATTTAGAAATCCATGGGACAATATGAATGATTTACATCTTAATCTTCATTTTGACAATCCGCATTTTGATATGTTGTAAGTGTTGTGAGTGTCACTTGTAAATTCAGAAATATATAACAAGTGAGTTTTAATTCATCATTCACACTTTTGAAACAAGCCAAATGAATTCAATTTAAACAAATTTTGTAGAGTGCTGATCTTCAAAAGTCATAATCTGATTGTGAAACATTTACTTAACCAATTTTACTTAACACGTATGTATGCAATTGTACTTATTAGTCAACTAACTTAAACCAAATTTTGCTCAAAAACTAGATTAAAAAATATAACAAGTCTGTGTGAATATTTGATAATATTTTTTTTCAAAATTCATGCTCATGAATTTTAATATATATATTTTTCAAATTTTTGATATATTTAAGTAGGACAATAGTTATTTCTCAGTTTAGGTTAACTAAATCTCACCTTACTATAGTAGGGTGAGAAATAAGAAGAAGAAAGGTATTTGATTGGTTTGAAAGGAACAAAAATGATTTTGCACCATGCAAGAACACGTTACAAAACGGTGATTGTAGTTTTTGCAGGGATAGGGAAAGGGAAAGAATCAAAAATAGTGCACAATATGGGAGCATATGACAGTGAGACTCGATGAAGTATACAATTTTTGCAAGTATAGGGAAAAGAGTTAGAATCAAAAGTAGTGCACAACATGGAAGCATATGACATGACTGGATGAGGTAAACAATTTTTGCAGAGATAAGGAAAAGGGGGAGTATTGGATGTAATGCATAGCATGGAAGCATATGGCAGCAAGACAAATACACTTTAATTCTCGACATGGAGGAATTTTTTTGGTTAAATGTGGGGTAGGGTTATAATTGATTGCAATAAGAGCGTGAGGCAAAACTAAATGCCCGACCAACCAAATTTTAATTTGAATGTGAAATCTATTTTTGCGCTAAAGTCAAACGGAGGGGGGTTGATGTCATACTGCGCAATGGAAGTTCAATACAAAGCTCAGCTCACATACATGATACAATTGTTGATGAGTATTCATGGTTTCACTTCGCTCAAACGCTAGAGGTATAGTAAACAACATTGAAAGCTGTGCTATCCGCTCTTCAAGCTTACGCGTTGATTAAAGGCTACGCCGTTGTGATTAAACACAAACACATGATTGATAACAAGACAGATGAAGCTTTCAAGGGACTCGATCTTGTGAACAAACCGGTTGTCCGTGAAGATACTCTTGAGCGTAACAAATCCAGTCATAATATTGGCTTTCAATTCAAATCAAAGATCAACAACAGAGTAGTCGGCGAAGAAGAAGTACAAGCCCAACTTGTATGAAAAATACAAGTTCAAAGTGTTCAACATAACCACGACGTCCTTGCTCATCTGCAATGATGCGCTCTAAGAAACCAACAACAGACATCGCTTACTTCCAGTCGTGCTGATGTTACGACCAACAAATTATTGCAACACTACATTAGATTGAAGTAAAACTTGCAACGACAAAAGACATCCGGAACTTACATCAAAAGGAGGGACTTCATATACTTGCAAGCCGGGCCCCGCTTTCTGTGTTGCTTCACTGTTTGGCAGGTACTCGAAGCATGCAATATTTCACCCAAGTGAACGATGAGAAGAAACTAACGCACTTGTTTCTCATATCACCGTTGGCAATGGTGATTTGCAAAAGTATGGTGCCGATCACGTATTTTTACTTGATGCAATCTACAAAATCAACAAGTATGATCTTACCTTGCTGCACGTTGTTTTTATGATTGCTACTGCCAACACCTTTGTCTTTGACTACTTGCTTTCTGCGGCAAAAAATGGAGAAAAATTACATGTGGACGCTCAACAAGATTAAAAACGTTATCAACAACTTTTGTCACGGATCGAAAGCTTGTGTTAATAAACTCGTTGGATGTGCTATATCTAGACGCATATATGTTGTTGTGCCGCTAGCATATCAGCAGAAATATACTTGTAAAACAAAAGACTAACTTTGCAAACGAAGAAGATTGGTAATAGTTTTTGGATGTTGAAGTGTGCTAATCAGTTACATGACTATAAAAGATTATGATGCATAACTTGCTATTATGAGGTACACCTTCTCAAAAGTTTCGATGAGTTACAACGAAGATACTTGGCTTCTTTAAAAGCAAAGGTAGGTATTGATGCAGTTTTTGCCTTATTGACGCAATATTCATTGTTAAGACACGATTTTGTTATATTAACGTTGTTTTGCTGATTTTTTTAGATTTTTTGTTGTGTTTCTACGTGATTAGAAGCATTACGAACATTCCTCGACTTTTTGTGTGAAGAGATCCCATATTGTGTTCAAAAAATGTTTGAATTTCTCCGTAAATGATCTTCTGTTAATGGATAATGCTCTACTGCTTGTGTGCAAAGGCCAACTTGCGATAATTATCTAGCAAAACACAAGAGAGCTGCCATCGCGGAGTTGCAACTTGGGCATATGTTTTGCAGTGTTCTTGGCAATATTTCAATCAAAGTAGTAAAACAAGCCTACAAGCAATAAAAAATGATTAGTTCATCACCAGCAGAGCAACATGAATGTTAGCACATTTTCTCAACAACAATGGACATTTCTTGTAAGCACAAATTTCAAGATTTTACGTTGCCTTTTTGTCAATGGGCAAGTTTGTACTTACCACCATGGATGGTAAGGTTGTATGTACCATCAATGGTAAGTTCAGCCTTACCATGTTCCACGATTTGAGCTAGCGTTGACTTTGAATGCTGCGCTGCGGACGATAGCGGATGAATATGCACACGCAGCTCCACATTGCAAACACATGCTGCTTGATCATGTCAAAGC